TGAAGCAGCGCGATGAGCTGGCTCTGAAACTTGAGGCTGCTGAGACCGACCTAATTATCAAGTGCAAAAAGGCTCAGCTGAAACAAGCGAGAGCTGAAGCCAAGAAAGCCGGAAAGAACCCAAACACAGCGGAGACAAAGGAGAAGAAAGACGCCGACAGGAAGGCTTCAGTGCTGGCGCTTGATGGGGGTGTCAGCTCCGGTAATCCCCACCAAGCTCGCACTCTCGACCAGATCCTGCATCGTACCAAATCGAAGAAGAAGCCGGAACAGCCAGGGCCAAAGAAACGACTAAACCCGTTGGACCCTGCCGTCGAGGCAGCAGAGGCAGTCGGTCAGGGCATGGGAAAGCTGGGAAAATCTATGATTGGGGGGTTCAAGAAAGTCGAGCATGGACTGGACGGAACATTGGCCCGATCAGGAGGATTTGTGCCGGGCGACGCTATGGTCATCCCTCCTCACCATTCAGAACCTGAAACTGATGAAGCCAACAACGCCAATGATGGGGAGACTCAGGTTTGGTCGACAGATCCCCGTGATCATGCCGAGCTCACCCCGGAGGCTAGCGCGTCAGAAGCGCGACCGGCGTCTAGACCAAAAAGGCCTTTTTGGAAAAGCCAATTGTCCAAGGATTCTAAGACGAGCAGTGAGCCTGACGAACTGCCCCTCACGGCCCCAGAGTCTCCTGTGGAACACGAGGATGTAGAGGTCACTGGCTCTGAAAGCGGCAATTCAATCAAAGAAAAGATCCCCTCCGACAACCCAAGAGGATTCAAGGAGGGCGATCGGGTACAGGGAGAGGAGTATCCCATTGCTTACAATGAAGGCTTCGACAACGAGGATTTTGGAGAACCGCTATGGCAGAAATACATCAGACCCAAAGATCGCGATACGATGCGACTACCAATTTTCGGCTTCAGTTGGATGCCATCATTGTGGCTCATTGGCAAGAAGGTCGACACCATCGACTACTGTCGCAAGGAGTTGGCGCGCCTGAACCTGGAGATTGAAATCGACCAGCAGAATCCGGAGAAGTTTCCGCATATGAATTCAGCCTTTATCCAGTTCAACCACCAAGTCGCCGCACATATGGCTTGTCAGGCCGTCAGTCACCACGTCCCCAAGCAGATGGCGCCTCGTCTCGTCGAGATCTCACCAGACGACGTCATCTGGGACAACATGTCGATCAAATGGTGGGAGCGTTATCTGCGCACGTTTGGCATTATCGCCGTTGTCTGTGGGATGGTGATAGGCTGGGCAATTCCCGTGGCGTTCACTGGTTTGCTTTCTCAGCTGTCATACCTGGAAGCTGCGTTTACTTGGCTATCCTGGCTTTCTACATTGCCTGGATGGTTTATCTCTGCCATCCAGGGTGTGTTGCCTGCACTTTTCCTCGCTATTCTAATGGCTATTCTACCCCTGATCCTTCGCTTTCTCAGTCGAACACAAGGTCTCTCCACGGGTATGGCCGTCGAGTTGACCGTTCAGAACTATTACTTTGCATTCCTGTTCGTGCAACTGTTCCTGGTTGTGACAATCTCGTCCAGTTTTTCGACCATCATCAGCAACGTGGCCGACGTTACCAGCTGGCCTGAACTTCTGGCGCAGAACATTCCCTCGTCTAGCAACTACTTCTTCTCGTACATGATTCTTCAGGCAATGTCAGTGAGTGCTGGAGCTCTGGTCCAGATCGTCAACCTGGTGAGCTGGTTCATTCTCGCACCAATCCTGGACAAGACGGCGCGGAAGAAATGGGGCCGCACAACCAATCTGAATCAGATGCAATGGGGTACATTCTTTCCGGTGTATACCACGCTTGCGTCCATTGGTAAGCCTGATTCCTTACTTTCCCGATGGCTTTTTTTTGCTAATTTGAATTTTAGGGTTGATCTACTGTGTCATTGCACCACTTATCCTGATCTTCAACGTGATCACGTTCAGTCTCTTCTGGTTCGTCTACCGGTATAATACGCTTTACGTGACCAAATTCCGCTTCGATACGGGTGGACTGCTTTTCCCACGAGCCATCAATCAGCTGTTCACTGGTCTATATGTCATGGAACTCAGTCTGATCGGACTGTTCTTCTTGGTCCGGGACACGCAGGGCGAAGTTGCTTGTGAAGGACAGGCGATCATCATGATCATTGTCTTCTTCCTGACAGCCGGCTATCAGATCCTCTTGAATGACGCGTTTGGGCCTCTGTTCCGTTACCTGCCCATCACGCTGGAGGACGACGCGGTGCGCCGTGATGAGGAATTTGCTCGGGCCCAGAGAACCCGCCTAGGTCTCCCTAATGAGGAGGAAGAAGATCCGAATGACACTATCGAGCACCAGCTGGCTGAGCGTGAACATCGTCAGCATCAGATTGACCGAATGTCGCACGATATCGAGTTAAAGACGCTGGAGTCTTCCTCCCCCGAGCGGCAAAATCACCACACCATGCATAGGCCACATCTCGGACCGCAGCGTCGATCCTGGGCTGAACGATCACCAAACCGGCGGTCACCATACTACAAGGCCCACTCCAATACTCAAGTACCCAGTGTCCAGCGTCTGCGCGACAGGATCGCACAAGACGCCGAGGCCCAAGGCCCTCCTTCGCGCAACGTTGGGACCACGCTCTTTTCCGGCATCCACGATGAATTGGAGGACTTGACACCTGACGAGCGTGATCAGCTCGTTCAACGTGCCTTTCAACACGACGCATTGCGTGCCAAGCGACCAGTGATCTGGATCCCTCGCGACGATCTTGGGGTCAGTGACGACGAGGTGTACCGCACGCAGCGGTTCAGCAAGCACATCTGGATCAGTAATGAGTATCAGGCGCTGGATGGGAAATGCCACACGATCTTCAGCCGCAGTCCGCCCGACTTTTCCGAAGTGGACCTCATCCAGTTATAAGGCGTTTGGCTGTATCAGTAAGCTGTATGATTGACGACTATTTGTTTTGGTTTGCAGTTTTTGCTTTATTCGGTTCATGGGATAAGGAATTTGCATTTACAGGCGTTGGGTGCCATTCTCAAGGTTTATAGGAGAGCGTGTGTACATGATTACCCAAGATGCCATAGATGGAGATACATCACAAGCAATGTCTATATAGTACTATAGCAACACCAACCAAATTTCTATCCACCTCAATCCATAAACTTACAGATAGGCAACCGGTACTTCTCAATCCTCCAATACGGCCTTCTCACACCCTCCCACTCACCCTCCAACGCCGGCACCTCCAACTCCTCCCACTCGACATCAAACCCAGCCTCAAACAAATCCATCTCCACCACCTTCTGATAAACATCATAACTAATCTGCCTATCAGCGCCCATCCCATTAAAGAATCCCCAACGCCCACTCCCATGTTCTCCATCCTGCTCCAAAATCCCAATCACCTGCTCCGAAAAGAACTCCCGGAAATCACTATACGACTCGGCAAACGTATCATAGTAGATCGCATCAACCACCACTCCCTCGCCCACCAACGCAGGCAACACATCCTGCCACCGGCCCTCATGGATCCGGACTCCAGGCTTCTGATCCCACCCCTTACGCTTCATCTCCGCCACCACCTCCGGGTGCGCCTCCACAATATGGTGCTCACTGGGGCCATGCGATTGCAAAAACGTATCGACAATACCCATCCCATGTCCGATGTTCATGACCCGTAGCCCTGGGGTGGGGAGCAGCTTCGCCGCGGACTTCTCCATGATGGTGGATTCCCACGACATCATTACCCCGTTCTGGTCGCTGTCGAGAAGTCGGTCGTTCGTGAAGGTTAGGTTCGAGTCGAGGTAGCGCGGTTGCGTGACGGAGGGGTTTTCTGTTACTGCTGCTGGTTGTTCTTCAGTGGTAGCAGCTTCAGCTTCAGCTTTAACAGCAGTAGTAGCTTCTTCAACACCCTCTCCCTCCTGCTCTTCTTCATCCTCCTCTTCCTCCTCATCATCATCCCCCAACGCCTCCCACCCCTCCTCCAACCTCCCCAACAACAACTCCGCCCGAACCCCCGCATCCACAATCATCTCATAAACCTCCATCAACCCCAACCGTCTCGCAATACATCCCGGTGTCTCATCATTCAAATCCAGATCATTCCAAATCGCGCCCTCGCCGAGTAGGAACTTGACTGTTTCGACGACGCCTGCGCTGCCCTCATCGGCATTTGTGTCGACGCCATTGGCTTGTTTCTCGGCATCGTTGTCCTCCTCCTCGCACGCAGCAATGGCCGCGTGCAGCGGCGAGAACCCCGTCTCCGGGTCCTTGACGTTGGCGGGGTTTCCGGGCGTTTGGTTCTCGCGGATGAGGCGGCGCAGGAGCGGGATGTTGTGGGTGGATGCGGCGAGGAGGATTTCTTGGATGTTTAGGTCCAGGTTTAGGGCCATGTTGGGGTCTTGGGTGAAGGTTATTACGGGGTCGGTGTCGGCCATTTTGGTGGGTTGTAGTTCGGTTTGGTTTAGTTCTGGTGTTGAGGGAGGATATATTAGTTGTTGTGAGGATGGTGGGGGAGGAATTGGATATGCGCGGCGGCGGGGTGGGGAGGATTTTATTTTGAGCGGGGAGAAATTGGATTGGGCTGGATTCGGTTGGGTTGTGTTGGCGTAGTGTGGGTGATTTTGAGGGACTTACAGCAGTTAATCTGATTAGGGGAGAGGTGTTTTGGGGTTAGAATGGGCTGGAACTCCCATGTAGAGGATGTGTCTACTGAGTTGAACTGGTGGTGGATGGATTCCGCTGGTAGAGATTTCCGCCGCCGCATTCGTCCCCGCCGCAGCTCCGCTGTAACGGCACATCCTTATTATACGATAGCTTCGTATATAGCTTGTATACACCAAACTTCATGTAGAAGAGAAGAGAAACTGATCGCCGTTGCTCGAACCTGAGAATAACTATTTGTACAAGTACCCGATTCCATTCACCTGTCGTCCTGTCGGACGATCTTCATAGCGCCATGTCTTGCTAGACCATTAACAAAGTCCCCATTGCTCTCCATCGGTCCATCCATCCGCTTATTTCGTGTCGTCGGAGCCCGCGTTGACGTTCAAGCCCAGTCCCTGGCTGTCCAGGTACAGCTTGTTCCGGCCACCGTTCTCCTGCAGGATCTGGGCGATATGGCGGGCGTTCTCGATCTTCCGCAGCTCGATGTAACTCTTGCTCTTCTTGATGGCGTCACCAATCAGCTCGGCTGAACGAGCCTCACCTTGAGCGCGCACAATGAATGCTTGCTTCTCCTGGCGGGCCTTGTCGACCAGGAACGCGGCCCGCTGGGCTTCCTGCTGAGCAACCTGCTTGGCCTCGACGGCGGCGGTGAATTCGGGGGAGAAGGTCAAGTGCTGTGGAAGGTATTAGTGAGTGGGTAAGAGAGGAAGTAATAGTAGGATTAGCATACCGTAAGCGACACATCGTCCAAGGCAATGTTGAAGCGAGCAGCCCGACGAGCAAGGTTCTCCCGGACCAGGCGGGCAACGTTCTCACGCTGAGTGATCAACTGACTGGCGTTGAATTGTGCCACCACGCTCTTCAAGACCTCGTTCACAATCGACGGAAGCACACGCTCGTCAAAGTCCTGTCCCAGGGTACGGTATATTTGGGGGAGGGCATCGACACGGGGTCTGGACAGGACACGGCAGGTGATGTTCACCATCTGCAAGTCCTTGGTACCGGTAAGGGAAGCAATATTGCGCGGCTTTGCGCGGACATCGTAGATAATAGGAGTTTCGACCCAGGGAATCCGAAGATGAGTTCCTAAAAGGATAATTTGTTAGATGAAGCCGAATGCAGCACATTGGATATGCGTACCTTCACTGTAGATTTCCTTCTTGACACCACCTACTCTGGAGTACTTGATCGCACGGTGACCACCATCAACTGCAGTAGCCGTCAGTAAAAGCACCATTTCCACCCGTTATGCACGAGAATTAGCTCACCGTTAAACATCGAGTTGGAAACAGCATATACTCCAAGACCAGTGAGGAACAAAGTAGCGAGGCCCATGCCGGCACGAGGATTGCCACCACCGAAGCCGCCACCAAAACCGCCGCGGCGGTTTTGGAGGGCCATCTGGAGCTTGTGCAACTGATCCCTAGGGTTCCCGGACATGGTGATGGGGGGAGATGAAGGTGAGGGAGAGACGGGGAAGAGGATTGGTGTAAGCGGCGTCACTTTGGCTTCGTCGCTTTGGAAGCTCGAATTCGCGGCAAATCAATCGCCCGATTCGTCACCGCCTTGGCAGATGCTGCCGCTTTTCGACATCATCTTCGCTCTAACGGACTTATCTTTCATTCATCTACTATTACTTCAAAGAACTTGTTGCCATTGCTTCTCGGGTGTTCCTCCCAGGGCATTGTTAAGTTTTTCTCAGCTTCTTGTCTCTGGGTTTAAGAGAATTTACCACCTCCTCCCTCGCGCATCTTCCTCCTATCTCCAACACCTCCTCTTCAACTACCAAAACACCTATCTATACCATCCCCTCTTTTCTTCTCAACCACCATCATGGCTCCCGGAGCCGGAAAGAGTGTCTTCCTGGGGAATATCCCCTATAGTATGTCTCCTCTATTTGTCTTGCGTCCCCCAAAATCACCCCAATGGCATCAAACTAACCCATCACTCTCCAGACCTCACGGAAGAACAAGTCAAAGACATCCTCAGCTCCGCCGGCACAGTAACCAAGTTCCGCCTGATGATGAACCCCGAGACTGGTAAACCCAAAGGTTACGGTTTCGCCGACTTCGCCGACGCCGATGCGGCCGCCTCCGCTGTCCGCAACCTGAACGACTACGAGATCATGGGCCGTAAGATTCGGGTCGACTGGCCACACAACAATGAAAAGGACTCCATACCCCCCGACTACTCCCAGCTCTCTGCACCCGCTGTCCAAGACGGCTCCCAACAGCAACAACAGCAACAGTCCGCGCCTCTCCCTCCTCTGCCCCCGGGTGTCGAAGTTCCCCCGCATCTCGATTGCCCCAACGCCATCTCTCAGACACTCGCTTCCCTGCCCCCGAACCAGCTCCTCGATGTCCTCTCCCAGATGAAGTCGCTTGTCATGGCGGATCCCGCCAGAGCGACGGAACTGCTACGCCAAGCCCCTCAGCTCGCCTACGCAATTTTCCAAGCCTTGCTGCTCATGAACCTGGTCGATTACGGTGCCCTCGGCTCGGTGGTGGAACAAGCGAGCCAACCTAGTGCCCCTGCACCCCCTCCTGCCGCCGCGCAAGCCTTCCAGCCCTTCTCCGCTGTACCGGGACCGGTATCTACACCTCCAATGGTCAACACTCCTTTCGCTGCCGCTGCACCGCCGCAACAACCCCCGCAGGCTATGCCAGGACAGGAAGAGCTTCTACAGCAAGTCCTCAGTATGCCGCAGGCTGCGATTGATGCGCTCCCACCCATGGAGCGCAGCCAGATCATGCTCCTCCGGCAGCAGTTGATGCAGGGTGCTATGCGGTGATTGGGCAATACCTCATATCTACCCCTCTGAATCTATCTTATACCCCCTCCCTCTCCCTCTTATCCCCTAAATGAGGAACAAAAAGGAATCGGGCGCAAAACAGCATCAGGGAGCACCTCTGATGCAGGATGTCTCGGCATGAACAATCTAAGTTGTTCTACAATCCTCATTATCTCTCCATCTTGATGTTAGCAACGTCATGGCTTTCATTGATTGACTGATTGATCAACAACCGGAACCGGGTGTGAGTTTTGGCGCAATACGGGCATGTTGGTGGGGTTTCAAATTGTGGGTTCTTTTTTTTTCTTCTACTGAAGTTGCGAGACACGGACTGAGATTTCCCTCTCTCTCTCCTTTTTCTTGCTCGCGAAGTTCCGGAATGTACATGATAGTATAGCAGCAGCTGTAGCGGATATCCCAGCAAATTGGTTTTGCTTCAGACAGATCAGCAGTGTTGATTGTAAACTTCTAGTATTCTATCCATGTCCTCGTCTTAACGCGTATTTTTTTACCTATTGATCATGGGTCCTAAAATATGCATCCTATTTTCTAGACCACGTAGATTCCGATATTCTCATCTATATCCTCGTCTCAACCCTCATTACTTTCCTACTAATCATATTATTTCAATATATGCAATCTACCATTTCCGGGACCACATAGATCTTATTTATCTCATACAGCGCATCATCTCATTCGCCCTCAAGTGTCACGGTAATACCTACAGCAAAATCTTGAGACATGCACTCCAGCTCCTGGAGGACATAGATTCCCTGTATCTATCTCATCGACACCCTCCCTCATCTTAATTCGTATCACCCTTCCTGGCACTTGTCATTAACCCAGTGATATAGTTTTCCAGGGTAGTGATTGTTTCTTCTTAGTCCAACCCGTACCATGTTTCTTCCTCAAGGTACATGCTCAACGCTGATCCCCGCATGAATTATCCCATTGACCTAGTACCTTCTCTTCTATATGGTTTAATAGATTCGAGTGTTTATATAGATGCGATACTATTAGACTGGTAGTAGCTGTTTAGTAACGATGGATACAAAAATACCGTGTACTAGTATCCATCTTCCTGTCTGGTTAGTGTGTAGCTAGCTACGTTTTGAAGTAGCGATACATCATAGTCTACTGTCTGCCAGGCACCAGGGGCACATCTATGAGAAGACATCAATAGTAGACAGCATAATGCACGACAAGGCAGAGGCCTGCTTATATTGTATCTAGATAGTCTTGCTATCACTCCGTCTACTCCCATATCAAGCAGACCACTCTCAAAAACAACACAATACAAGCCCTCCATAGTTCCTCGCCGTGCACATCTCGCCATGGGTTCACTCGTTTCCCGAATCCCCCGTACAACAAAACCCGTCTCGTGAAGATTCACAAACAAGCAGCACACCATGGCGACAGCCATTCACTAGTAGGAAAAGTTTTCATAAGCCCACACACGGCCTTTCCCCCCAAAATCTCCTCTGCCATGTTTCTCTTGTGTTATGTCCTCTTCCTAGCTATCTCTCCTCCATCTCATCTTTCACTTTGTATCTCCTCCACGTGACCTTTCATGACCCTATCTTCACCCTCCATCACAACATTCGTTCAGTGCTTCTGAAGCTTCAAGTCTTCGTTTTTATCGTTCGAACCTTCTCTAAAGATTCTCTGTAGTCTTTCAAATGTCTTCTTCTCTGAAAAGAACCTTGTCCTGGTCGTCGGATCTTCCGACGCGTCCTTCGAAACGGATGGCGCAGGAGATGCCCGAAGATGATGCTATCCTTTCTTCGGATGAATATGATTCAGACATCATGGATTTTGAGCGTGATGAACCTGTCCATCCTTCTAGCGAGGAAGAGTACAACGATAACGGTCTTAATCTTATGTTGCCTGAAGTAGTCAGGTCCCAGTTGCCATGTGGTCCTCGATCTCCTCGGACCCAGCTCGCTTTGCATCTCCCTCCCCTCCATGACCTCAACGACATCTATAAGTCGATCACAGAAAAGGCAGTGGAGCTGGGATTTGACCGTGTATTGTCCCATCTGGGCTCAAGACGCCTTCGCATTGCGACTGTCTGCTCCGGCACCGAGTCCCCTATTCTGGCTTTAGAAATGGTTCAGAAACGTGAGTGATTTGACATTAGCCTCGTCTATATCGAAACTAATTTGTCTGTAGATCTGCAGGAGCAGTTCAATATGACTTTCGAATTCCGTCACATCTTCAGTGCTGAGATCGACCCTCTCAGACAGGCGTACATCCAGCGAAACTTTCGTCCACCTCGCCTCTTCCGTGATGTGAGGGAACTCAATCGTCGTGTAGCGTAAGTAGAGCCCTCACTTTCTGTTGTTCAGGCCTAACTCGATCGCACTAGTCAAACAGCGTATGGGTCTTTGGAAAAGGTTCCCAAGAATTGTGATATCTTGGTTGCCGGTTTTTCATGCGTTGACTTCTCGAATCTGAATAACAAACGGAAAACACTTGATGATAAAGGTGAGTCGGGAGGGACTTTTTGGGCCATTATCCGGTACGCAAAAGCCTATAGGCCTCCCTTGATCATACTCGAGAATGTCAAGAGCGCCCCATGGAAAAAGATCCAGACTTACTGGCAGGACATCGACTACCATGCCACTCACCTCGACGTCGACACAAAGGCATACTATCTGCCACAAACACGGGAGCGAGGATACATGCTCTGTGTCGATAAGAAAGCTACGGACAAGGATGAATCATCACGGTTCCAAATAGGTCGTTGGTCACGCACCATGACTGAATTCAGGCGCCCCGCTAGCTCTCCAGCCGGCATGTTTCTTATTGACGCAGATGACAAGAGGCTCGAACAAATTGAGTCCGATATGGCGACACGCGCAAAGCTGGCTCGTAAACCGGTAAACTGGGAAAAATATCAGGCCCGCCATCTGTCTTACCGTCAGGATAACGCTCTCGGTGACAAACGCCCAGTGAGTAAATCGCAGGACGATGGTAGCTGTCGTATGCCCGACTTCTGTTGGAGAAAATGGATGGCGTCCTTGCCAGAGCGCATTTGGGAGACTTTGGACATGAACTTCCTGCGCAAGATGGCAGAAGGTTACGACATGCACTTCAAAGAGTCAGTGACAAACTCCTCTCTAAACAACTGATTGAAACTGACCTGTATTAGGAGATGCATCGAACTCTCACAGGGGATCGAACGTGAGATAGACGTACGGGCCCCAGGAATCGTTGGGTGCATCACTCCAGCCGGTATCCCATATATTTCGACCAGAGGCGGCCCTCTCTGTGGTCTCGAGTCGTTGGCATTGCAAGGCCTGCCTCTCGACCGACTTCTACTGACACGTGAAACCCAGCGTGAGTTGCAAGACCTTGCAGGAAATGCAATGACCTCTACGGTCGTCGGTGTAGCGATACTGTCTGCGTTGATCAACGGACATAGAATCCTAAAGCCAGGCCAAGGCGCACCCATCGGAAAAGCATCATCTCGCAAAAACCACCGTGTTCTGCCTCAAGACGGTCATATGATGACACCGCATGACATACAGCTCACTTGTGCTGCTCGCACCGATATTTCGCAACTCCAGATGCGGGCAGCAAGCAGTGCCAGATACTGCGTTTGCGAGAGACAGACCAACATAAGCTCGGGTATCTTGAGATGCAC